TCGCGACTGTGAAGGAAACAGCGAATTTCTGAAGATGATTTTGTATCATTCACCTGATCTAAGAGTAAAATGAGATCGGAAATTCCGAATTACTTGTTTACCATGCTTTGAAATCATTAAATCAGTATTTATAAATAGATATAAGGGAATAAAATAAGAGGAAAACGCGTAGAGAAATAGTGAGATAAATGTAGGGTGAGGTATAATCAAAATCATGGGTTGAGTTTTATTTACCGCAGATAATAAGTGTTTTGTAAAAATTTGACCAATTAATTCCCTAAATTTTTTGTTTGTAATTTACATACTTAAAATCAACTTGCATTCGATCTAATGATACAATGGAATACATACGAGCTAGGTACAAAAGTCATTCAGGCTTTACGCCAATGTATAATGCGCTGTGTTATGTTTACTAAACTTCAATCTTTTTTTCTGCAGTTCGTAAGTTACGCACAAACAGACATTCATAAACGCTCAACAGCATAATCACACATAGAGAATATGAGTGGGTTTCTGCAGAAACTTAATATAAAGTGATTTCTTCTGCAGTTACTTTTAAAAAATGATTTGAAAAAATGTTAGTTCATTTAAAAATATGTTGTAGGTATTCGCCGTTTGGAATAATGTGTCTGATTACGGGAAAGATCCTGGAAATAGAAGATCTGGCTGATATGGCACGAATGTTGGCGATGTACGTGGTGACTGTGCTGCTCGGGCTAGTAATCCATGCACTAATCAGCCTACCGCTCTTGTTCTTCATCTGCACCCGAAAAAATCCATTTGCTTACATGCGAGGTTTGCTGCAGGCATGGGTCACTGCACTTGGGACTGCATCCAGGTTCCTCTTTATCGCTTCTAGAGTTCAGTCAAATAATCTCAATATTTTATGAGAAAATTAAGCTGCTTTTGTGATTTATTTTATGAACCACTAATTTCACCATTACCAGCCTCTATTGTAATTATAGTAAGAAAAAAATACGTGAGCGGAGTGGACACTAAATAAGCTGCTTTTGCCACTTTGACCTTGAGTGGCACGAGGAACGCATGTTGGATTTAATGATTTTCAGTTACTCGAATTTTTTTTCGATTGCGGTTTTCTCTTTTTTTCGCGACATCATAATACACGTGAAGGGCTGAAAATGGTTTGAA